AACTTTCTCGGATATTTGTCTGATTACGTCAAGACGCGTGAGTCCAGCGATTCGTCCCAACATACCCATTTCACATACTTGCATTTGGAATCGAGGTTTTTCAGTCATCGCCCATGATTCATGACAACCGAAGAAATATAGGCATGAAGATCGATTAAATATACACATCTTATTACTCAGACTCAGCCCTGCCTTAATCACACCGGTTCGGACTAGCTCACACAGAATACCGCTGGCCATTCCAATTCGACGGCTAATCACCTCCACATATTTTCCATCTTCATCTTCATCCTTCATGGCCGCTCTTCCTTTCGGGTCGCGGATGCAGACGCGTCAGACAGAGCTTCCAACGTCCCCCATTCTGTGCCAGAGTATGAGCTTCGGCAGAAGACAGCTGGAGCAGATTTCTTCCATATATTTGCACCAGTGTAATTTTGGCCGTCCCCTGGGCCTTCTGCCGGTCCGATTCGCAAGACACAGTTGCTCAGCCTTCTTTTCTACAGGCATTCGCAACACATGGCCAAACCATCGCAGCTGTGACTTCTCAATCTGGACAAGCAAAGGCTCTTCCGGATGTCAGTATTCCGGATCATGTCGAGACACGTAAGGCAAGCGACTCGTCTAAGAAAGCCCATTTCAGCAGCTTTTATCCGGGTTCGAAGTTTTTCAGTGATGGTCCACGATTCCTGACCGTAGGTGAGCATGGGGATAAAGATCGACTTGAAAATCGAAAACTTACTTTTGAGACTGAGCTCTGCTTTAGTCACAGTGGGTTGGACTAATTCATGCAGAACGCCACTGGCTACTCCAAATCGCTGGTCGATTTCTTCCTCCAATTTTCCATCACTAGTAAATACAATTCCGAGGTACTTCAACTTCTCCTCCTGCTCCACTGCCTCTCCGTTAATCTGAAGAGAGCAACGGGCAGGAGAACGAGAAAGCACTAAGCTTTTGGTTGCAGCCACGTTCAAACGCCTGTTGGCCACGTCGCACTCGGCTGCGAACCTTTCCAGCGAGCACTGTAAATCAGTTTCGGAAAATGCCACCAAATCAAGATCATCTGCAGACAGCAACGCTCTCGTCTCCGTACCTCCAAAGCTGATGCAGTCATCCCTCTGAGTGCGCGTATGAATATCATATTAATATATAACACAACCAGGAGAGGGGAGAGAGCGCACCTTTGACAGAGTCCAGTGCCAACGCTGAAAGGTATCGACTTGACGCCGTTGAATCTCACCTACCATCCGCTATCAATACATGATGATTGAATGGCTCGAAACGACGGCCGTCGATTGCATATGTTTGCAGGCACACCCATAGCTTCCTTCGCGGGAGCTTAAACCCAAAAAACCGCAGGAAAGTTCACCAGAAGTGCAGAACGCAACGAATATTAAACTCTCAGTAGATGAAATTACAGAAGTTGTAGAAAGCTTGAAAAGTCGCAAAGCTGCTGGAATTGACGAAATCAGTCTAGAAGAGCTTAATTCATCAGACTACAAAGACATGCTGTGGCGTATCTGTGAAACTGCAATGGCTATGGGGAAGATGCCAGTGGACTGGAAAACGTAAGTTGAAGTAACCCTGTTCAAGCATGTAGACCCTAGAAAGTACTTCAATTATCGGGGCATTGACGTATTGACCCTCAAGAAAAGGATCTGCGCAAAGGTGTTAGAAAAAAAGTGCTGCGAAATGAGTGACTCTAAGATACTAGAAGAGTAGTGTGGCTTCAGGGTTGGCCGAAATACCGCTGAACCGAAGTTTACCTTATGCCAGATTGCTGAGAAATTGTGGGATTTCGCTCATCTGGTGTAAATGTCATTAGTGGATCTGGCGGAAGTGTCTGACTGCGCAACAATCTATGGATGTATATCTATCTGCAAACATATTACCGACGGCCAGTTGCTACGAGGCGTCCAATCACTAAATACTAATATCAAGTGCTGCCTCAAAGTAAATGGCGACAAGTCGAAACCTTTCAGAGTTGGCACTGATTTCCGCAAGGGCAGCGTTTTGCCCCCCCCCACATCTGTTTGTTGTAAACGGATAAAACCGTCAATCGCAGTTAGGGCAATGAGTGCATCTGCGTAAGAGATATGGAGATGAGAAGGATGCAGTTACCAGATGACCTTGTTTTGTTAGCAGCGCTCTCTGCAAAGGTTCACAGGGAGTGGCGCGCATGCGTGTGACTGTACCTAAAACAAAACGCCTAATAGCTTCTCGTTCTCCTGCTCATTGCAACTTCAGATAAGTGAATGAACAAGTGAAACAGGTGGAGAAGTTTACGTACCCTAAGGTTGTGTTGACTGTCTTAGTTCTTAGCTCTTGTTCAACGTTTTGAAGTGCTCGAGCGATCACTAGCATACTTGATCCTTAACAAAATTCGGTTATTCGCATATGGATGCGTATCTTGAAATTCCATGACTGGAAACATATGCACAGACAAAGACTGGAACAAGAATACTCATGATTCAGCAGATCACTTTTATCAAGACTGATAGCATCACAGACCACTTGACTAGTTATTGTCAAAGAAACGGTGTTTTTGACTGAGACAATCAGTAAGAGAGACTATTTGAAAGATACACCGGAATATCTGGCAGGTGAACACTGGTCCGACATCTGCTATTGGTATGCAACTGTAAAAAAATATTATTATTGTCCATGACTATGACTGATATACAGCAACTATTTTAGAAAAAGAAAACATCACAAAGCAAAAACGTCCAGATAATTTTTGCGACGAAAGGCAATGAGCAATGACTACGACAAAGAACAGTAAGGAATGAGTAAGAACCTAAAGTCGAAGCATGGTGCTTGACTTAGACGACGGAAAACTTCATTAGTTAATGATTTAAACGGCTTCGAGCAAACTTTGTATGTGATAACGCAGTTTTCGGCCCTACTTCGGTGTTCATTTTGAACTGGGTGAATAAGCTCTGCCACATCGCCTTGTCGATCCCAAGCCCGCGTGAGAAACGACAAGGGTTGGAGACCGTGGCAAGTCTCAGTAAAATTCAGCCACCGACCACTCATGGTATTGACGCCATCGAAAATTAAACCGGCTCGGTCGTCGCTCGGGTTACAAAAGGCCACGCAGGCTGCTGAGAGACTGAGGCAGACTGCGTAAAGTCGGCGATCAGAATCTGCTCATAGCCCTATGCCAGCCGGGGGCGTAGCAGCACAACAACGGCTGATGAAGACCGACGCAACGGCGACGAAGATACCAATCAGCAACGAAGCCGCTACCCGCTCCGAACGGAGGAGGCAAACAGCGCCATGCCATTATCGCACGTCAGAAAAGGCTCCACAAGAGCGACACCACCAGTGGGAGCTTAAAGTCGGAAATTGGAACATATCCTCACTCAGAGGAAAAGGGCAAGAATTAGTTAATGAGGCCATAAAGAACCAAATCGACATTGTTGGACTCTCGTGAAAAAAACGCCCAGGCTCTGGACTCCTGAACCTCAATGTATGGAAGCTATTCTACTCTTGCGTCGATATGACGACTCGCGCTCATGCCGGTGTTGGCGTTCTGGTCGAACCCAACATTGCCGATAGAATTATCGTTTGGAAGCCTATCAGCGCAAGGGTGGTAATACTCCGACTGAAGCTACAACAGGCTAAATCGATTACCTTGTTACAGGTCTATACGCCCAATTTGGAGGGAAAATATGAGACCTTTCTTGAGGAAGTGCAGTTTCTCTGTCCGAAGTGCCGAATACAGAGTCCTTCATACTGATGGGCGATTTTAATGCGCATATCGGAGTAGACGCTGGAAAGTGGAACGGCGTGATTGTGAAAAACGGCCCTAGAGACCTCAACAATAACGGCATGAAGTTGTTGCGGTTCTGTGCAAACAACGGATCGTTCATTATGAACACCTTCTTCGAACATCGAGGAGTGCATCAGGGTACCTGGTACCGAGAAGTTTGTGCACTGAAGTCGATGATCGATTTGACAGTCGGCTCCTATGACTTAAGACGCTCAGTAATGGATGTTCGCGTTGAAAGTGGTACAGAGCTGACATCCGATCATCACCTTGTTGCTGGCACGCAGCGCTGTAAGAAATGGAGTACCATCTGGCGGCAGAAGCAACCAAGAATCAATTCATAAACATA